TAAATTCTTGATTCTTTCTACTGGCAAAAGCATACTAAGAAATAGTAGAACCTATAAGGCAATCAGATAAAATAACAGGGAAAAAGAAATAATTAAAATTACCTACTAGCTGAGAAATATTTAACAGTTCATTATGTTTATCAGTGCTCCATACCTGTGTTTTCTTTTCCCCGCGCTTCTGAGCTATATGCTCATGAATGCCTGGCTTTAGATGTCTACTTTATATAATCAAATGCAACTTAGCTGGGGCTAAAGAAAAGGAATAAAGTGAGAGTTTACTCCCCAGTGTCCATTTTCCTTTTCAGTGCTGTGTTGTGGACTGTCATTTTTCTTCTCACCTATACCTGAAATATTTGTCTGTCTCTGTGCATTGAATATTTGTGCTAAACCAGGGTTAGTCTTCATGAGCTGTCATATATCTTTCTGTACTCACTAAAATAACTTCTGGATCTTGTATTGGAAATTTTAACACAAAGGCAACAAAGCAATTGATGGTAGAGTATATAAACTCGATTCCCTAAAACTCTCCTTCTGTAATTGTTTTGCTTGTGCATCAGAAAAGATCCACGTTTTCATTCCTGTTCACTATTTCCTTTTCTTCTTCTCATACTTACTGAAGGGTTTAAGTGGCTTCTAATGGCATAGTCCTTGTGCCATACACTTTTATCCACTGAATTACATAGTAGACCTTCTTGCTTAAAGAGGACAAACGTTATTTTCTACCACAAGTGTCTGCCAGAGTTTTGATTTAAAATTCCATGGGACTGATCAGTTATTACCTACATTTAAAAATTATCAGAAATTATTTCTGTTAATGTTACTACAATAGTTTTCTTTCCACAGAAAATGTAATGCAACTACAAGTCTGAAACTGTAGAAGAATATTACTAGAAAATGTTACTGCTAGAACTGTGTCAATTCAGCCTAAGGCCTTTTCATCTGAGGTTGCTGTAGAGAGCTCTTTTTCCCCATTTCTCCCTCGCTTTGGGATTTTACTGCCATGACTGTGTATCCCAGTGGCAAACAGCAGCTGGATCTCTGCCCAAATGAGATGCTTTTTCCACTAACACATTCCCTTAATTTTTCATTCTGGGGAACAGTTCTTGTCCCTGCTTGTTGTGCAGGGTCCTGCACTAGGGAAATGGTTCTTGTCTTTTGACATGGAGCTGGAGTAGTGATGAAGACAGGAAATTCTTTTTAGCATTGATTTACTAAAGCAGTAGGTAGCATTTGGAGTCTTGTAAATGGCCTTCGCTTCTCTGTTTCAATTTTCAGTTCTTACCAAAGCCAGTGAAGTTCTTGAGATGAGTGTCTCTTGGTTCTTACCCACAAGCACTCTCATGTAGGGAATTTTTTTTTAAGCTGGTGGTATCTTGTAATACGCACTCCAAGCCTGCCTTGTCTCTTAATGTGCAATTACTACCAGCAGTGTGTTCTCAGTTTCCTTCAGTCACTTCCCTGGGCCAGTTTCAGCTGCATCACTGCTTTCTCCTTAATTCTTTTTTTATCTTTCATCTTTCCAAAGGTCATCTTAGCTTTGGAAATTAAAAGCTTCAGTGTGCAACTTCTGTACTGATACTGGCCTGGGGTCTGCCACTTGGCACTCCCAGGTTTGACTGACTTTTGGTCTGTAGCTGTCACCTCTGCACCTGATCTCAGGGACTATTTTTTCCTGTGTTTCATTCCAGGAAACAAGTGTAGCTGACTTGTGTCAAACAAGAAACATCTTTGTTATTGCAGGAACACATTCCCTCATGGAGTTCAATTTCAATATAGAATCGTAAAATCATAGAATGGTTTGGGTTGGAAGGAACCTTTAAAGGTCATCTAGTCCAACCCCCCTGCAGTGAGCAGGAACATCTTCAACTAGATCAGGTTACTCAGAGCCCCGTCCAGCCTGACCTTGAATGTTTCCTGGGATGGGGCTTCTGCCACCTCTCTGGTCAACTTGTTCCAATGTTTCACCACTCTCATTGTAAAAAATTTCTTCCCGATATCTAGTCTAAATCTCCCCTCTGATCATTTTTGTGACCTCCTCTGGACCCGCTCCACCATGTCCATGTCTTTCCTGTGCTGAGAACTCCAGAGCTGGACACAGTACTCCAGGTGGGGTCTCACCAGAGTGGAGTAGAGGGGGAGAATCACCTCCCTCGACCTGCTGGACACGCTTCTCTTGATGCAGCCCAGGATACGGTTATTGGCCTTCTGGGCTGTGAGTGCACATTGCCGGCTCATGTTCAGCTTCTCATCCACCAGTACCCCTAAGATACCCACCAATTTCCTAGTATTCAAAGAAGGTTAAAAAGAAACAGACAGAAACATCTTCAGGGTGCAGTTCTGCAAAGGGATTGTTTACTCCTGTGACAGGAGTGATGAATGTTTTTCCTTTTTTCCAGGGCTGTGTAGAATTGTGAGTACTAAGCATCATTGCCTCATTTGGAGGGATTCTGTCACACCTTCCCTTCCTCTGTAGGGCCAGGTGCTTGTAGCTCAGACTGTTTTCTACAGGATCCACCCTGAGGAGCTGTCTGCCCGTTTCACTTCTTTGTCTCTACCCAGCAACTCATCCTACAAACATGACTTATGAGAGATGGCAGCTCTGGATTCTGTCTTACTCGTTCTTGCTCAGTTCAACCCTGCCACATATAAAGGGGGATTCAGATGGCGCCAGGAAAAGGAAAGCACAACTCCAGGCTTCTGACCCTTCTGGCGTCTGACCCGCAGTGTCTACAAAGGCACCAAGAAGACCTTGTGGGGAAAAAAAAAGTAAAATGTGCCTTGGAAGTTCTGTTATCCTACCAGCTGCTGCTTCAACAGCCTTGCATAAGCCAAGACCTCCCATTGCTTCTGTTTCCCTGTGCTGGACACTTTCCTTGAATGAGCTTCTGGCTACTCCTTACTCGTTGCCTTATCTTGCTCCCATGCCATATAGAACTGGAGCAGAATGAGTCCTCTGCCTGTTCCTCTTTCTCTAGACCCTGTTCCTTCTTCAAGAAACAACCTTCACAAGGTAGGCAAGGACAGCCTGCAGAGCAGCGTCACTTGAAGTGCTTGCCATCCGTCAGCACTAATGCAGCTACACCACAAGCCTGGGCACTGAGGCAAGAGTTCTGAGGCTGCACCAAAGCCCTTTGAACCAATTTCACGCCCTTAAAAAGCCATTGATGAAAATCCAGCCTAGAACATGCTTTGGTGGATACACAGTCTACTTCCCAGCCAGTTTCTTGATCTGTGGTGTATCTGCTTTCACACCTTCAGAAACATCCGTTTCCCACCGAGACAAGACTCATTCCAGTCCAGAGCCACTCTGGTGATCTTCTGCAGCAGTAAGGCTCCTTTAGAAAGTGCTGGAGCCAGTTGTTCTACACCAGAGACAGTGAAGTACAACAAGGTTGTCTGGAAAAGGAAGCATCCTTCACAGGAGACAACTTCAGGCTCCAGCTTTTTTAGTTTGGTACCTTGAACCTATTAATGATCCTCAGGATGCTTCCCAGAATTACTGTATTTCATTTGGGTGGATGTTACAATCCAAAGGGACAGATTCCTTAGTGGGAAAGGAATGGAGCAGCTCTTTTGAATGGGGGCTTTTAATGGAGAAGCTCTTTTGAGCCCAAAACTTTGGGGCTCTTCTTTTATTGTTTTGTTTCTGAAGAGAACATCTCAGCCTTTTGGGGAGGTAAGGTTCAAGCAGTAACTGCTGGAAGTCTTTCTCCCTTATCTCCTTAAAGAGAAGTTATTTTTCAGTGTTCATCCAAGGCTGTTGGGTGAGGTGGTCTCTGACACTGGTCATTATTCCTGCTCTCTCACCTCACTCAGTCCCTTGCCCTTTGGGTGATGATGCCCAAAGTGCTTTGGGAGAGCTCTTTGTGTCTGTGTGCTTATGCTAGAGACCATTGGTCTCTTCCCAGATATTTCACACCAGAGAAGTGTTTAGAAAACGTTGCTGAACTGTCAGCCAAGGGTCTGTTTGATTATCACTCGACAACAAGTAGCAACTTCTCATCGTGACAGATGTTTAATTGATAAATTAGATGTCTTCCTCCGGACACCAGATGACACTATACTCTGGGTCAAGATACTTGGGCATTGTAACATTCATTTTTTAGGCAGGATGACTGTGGACCCAAACCCTCTCTCCGTAATCTCTCAGAACGCTGCTTGGTATCACTGACAGCATCAGTTCATGTATAGGCACTGCCATCAGCAACAGCTCACCTGTCTGTGTCTGCATCTAATCACAAAATTTGAAACAAAAGGGCATACAGGGGGCTGGGGATGGGAGAGGACTTGCAAATAAATCAGTATTGCCAGTTTGAGAAAAAAACCATTGGATAAAAGCTAAAAGCTCTTGCCTCTAGGTACCTTTGTAAACATACCTGTCACTCTTCCTCTCCAGGATAAGTACTAGCGCTGCTTGAGTATTTTAACTGCTTTGGGTAGTACTGGGGTAAGATTTTTCTCAGCGCAATCTAAGATAGCTTGTTAACTTCTCTGCTTCTTCCAAGTTACGGCAGGAGACTGTGTGACAGGAATCAGTAATGACTTCTCTTAGTTCAGTTTTTTCACGATGTCCCTCTCCCTCGGTAAGTGGTGAGATGGAGGGTAAGGTGTTGAGAATGTCTGACTGTCAGTTCAAGGCCACTTCAAGTATGTGCTGCAGCACAAAAAGGAAGGCTAGTGGTGTTAAATGAGCCCACGAAACAGAGGGAACTATATATCCAGAGTAGTTAGATAGAGTATTAGATACAGGTTTTTGTAGGGAACTTATTGAGGAAGGTGCAGTACTGGATACAGGTGTGAAGGAGCTGTATTTGAAGGAGTCCCAAGGATACTCTGAAAGAAGGAGGCAGCTAGAAAATAAAAAGATAAGGCAAGGAATAAAGGCCATCACTGTTATGTGAGAGGGACCCCTGAACCCTAGAAAACTACAATACAGAAATAAAACCACCACCTCCTGAAAAAAAAAGCTGTACAAAAGTGAAGTAAACTATATGAGTTGATCTAATATTTTTACTTAATTTTAAATTCTGTATTAAAAATTAATACATTAAACTCTTACAAAAGTAAGGCACATGCAAAACATTGTGCAACTTCCGACTTTCAACTCTTACAAACTAGCAAGCATTATTTTAATTTGGCATTTCTAGAGAGTCATTTTTTCCCCATGCAGGATATGTGGAAGCAGGTTAAGGTTGACACTGCACCAGTTCAATCTAGATTCTGTGCTTTCTGTACTACGGTAAGCAGAGATGGTCATATCATACAGGCATACAAAATAAAAACCAGCTCAAGTGCAGATTCTGAAGGTGATGACCAACATACAAAATTTAAGAATGTGAAGTTATATGCATTATAATACATCAGTAATCTTCTTCAGTACAGGATGATTTGGCAACTCCAGTCTGTGTAGTGCTAGTGTGCAGTTCCTAGTTACCGGTGTCATACGATGCTGAAGACCATGGAAAGATACTGCTCGTAGGACACCTGAATCCAGCCATCTTGATCAGTATCGTATCGTCGGAACACGTCAGTCAGCCTCTGAAAAGGGGGGAAAATCTCATACATTTTTGTACTGCCATATATTCCCCTTGCCGCTTAGGTTTCTACAGCTTTATGAACACTTTCTGCTCATCTCTTCTGTAGACACTTCACTACCTATCTTGTGCATATACAGGCAGCTCTTTCCCATGTCTTGTGCTTCAGCTGTGTAGCAGATCTGATTTTAAAACTGCCTTATGATCAGTACTATCAGTTCTTTAGACCAAGCAGCTTTTTATAACTGGCTTTAAAAGGCGGGGGGGGGGGGGGGGGGGGGTGGTGGATCAGTGCACAATTCTCATGAGATGTTTGAGGGTCACCTGGAGACAGAGCCCAGTGAGTACCGTGTCCATTTCTTGTCTTCTAGCCAAAGGTGCTTAGTGCATCAGTAGTATCAGAGTTGTCTCTGAAACCCCAGAGGTGCCAGGCAGTATGGACAGTGGACCAGAGTAACTACCAGCGTGGTTTCACTAACACCAGCTGAATGATACTCTGTTTCAAAGCCCTCTTTACCAGAGTTTAATTTATAACAAAGCATAATCGCCTTCTATTACAAATGACTATAAAGGCAACTGCTGTTTCGGCAGACTTACGGCTACAGACGTAAAGGAGACGCACAAACCACCTGTATGCCAACAACAGAAACAGTACTTTTACAGGGCACTCCTTTCTCCTCATGTTGTGTATCAGAAGATATCTCAAGACAGTGTTGCCATGCTGGCCAGTGTCAGAAGAGCTACCTTTTTCCTAGCCTACTAAAACTCAGCTTGTGCACTGCTACAGTTTCGCAACTTTTCCCCAAAGTCATGCGTTCCAGAGAAGTCAGAGACACTCACAGGAACCTTAAACACTGAGGTGAGGAATCACTCAGTGACTGGTTTCTAAAAAAAAATAATACACCTGTAAAACAACCATTTTCTCTCTCCACATGCATTTCTATTGCTGAAAGGGTGATTGATTGTTTTTGTTTGTTTTAAATGTCTCTTACTACCATTGCCCCTCCAGGAACAGCAGTGACAGAAGACTGAATAATTCAGCTGCTAGCTCAAATTCCTTTTAGTCATAGCCTTAAACAGAGAGATAAGCAAAAAACTCACACTTCAGATTCGAGAATTATAGGCACCACAGGACATGACACACTCCACTTTTAACACACCCAAGATCCAGAGGAAGTGTGAGTATTAAACTAATGGAAAAAATGTTGCATTTTCCTTTTAAAGCACTGAGACTATTTTAACATTATTTTTGCTCCATAAAAGTATTTAACAGGTCAAAAAAGAATCGTATCAAATTTACTTGTGATGCATATGGATAACCACTGAAGACCAATAAATGAAGATATTTCTAGCACCTCTTGTATACTTTATTCAAATAGTTTATTTATAAGCAAGTTCTAGATTCAACATTATAGTTAAATTGAGAACCATAAAAGTTTAAGAAAAGCTGGGGTTTTTTTTTCAAATGATATTAAAGTACATCTCCTTTCTTACCTGTAAAACAACACAGCACTGAATAAAGTCATCAAAAGCAACTTGTCCTCTTCCTTGTCTGTCAAATTTCCGAATAAGGATATCGTAGAATTGATCAGACAGTCTGTAACCTTGGAAAAGAGAAATGCTTTAGGTTTCAATTATCACAACCATTCCATCAAAAGAACTAAGCTGTTTAGCAGCATGTATAACAAAACCAGAAAACAGTGAGGAGCTGCAAGAGACAATTTTTTGGCCACGTATCTCCACTGCACAACAAAGGCGTTCAATTAAAATGCATGCAGTAAAAACTGTGCTGAATAATAATTATAGACAGTCACAGTAAACATAATTAGTGATTAAAGTGACTAATTGGTTGAGGGAGCGGATTAGGGCTGCAGCTCAAGTTATTATAAGTGAAGTCAATTGAATGAAAGTTCTTTTGCCATCAGAATGTTACCGTCGTGGAGACAGCCGGCTTCACTTTAAAAAGCGACAGGCTGTATCAAGTACTTCTGTAAATTCAGACGTTTACCTGAAGTTCTGGTAACAGCCTCAGAGGGGCCAACAGGGGAGACAGAAAACATTCCACACACGTGTACTGACACATCCAGTTTCTTTCCCCTGCCCCCATAAAAGGAAATAGCTTAAAAAGAAGTGCTTGTGGCATGGACATCTTCAAAAGGTACCTTATACCTAAAAGGATAACTGCATTCCACCTGCCTCACTTTAGCCACATTTGTCAGAGCAGTACAGCCCTAACAATAAGAAAGAAGCTCATTTGATGACATAACCCAGACATAAAAACTGTAATTACAAATGAATTACCAAAACCTGTTAGTGCTTGCTTTAGTTCATTTTTGTCAATCATTCCAGAATTGTCTCTGTCATACGTTCGAAAAACATTCTGCCAGTCTGAGATGTACTTCCAGACTCCTGTGAATTCATTGAAGTTCACACCACCTTTGTTTTCTCTGTCAAACATGCCTGAGATGAAAAAAAAGAAACACATACAAAACCTTAATCATGCTACTGTGCAGTAAGACCTGCTAGTATTTTAAGAAGGAAGCGGGAGTGCTTTGTGGGAGGTACTGAAGACAGAAAAGAAACTGCTAAAATACAAGTGAATACTTTGGAAGGTTCTGCCAAAAAAGCAAGTAGTCATCCACTGAAGCAGGAAAAGATAAAAGAGGACCAGAATGAATCACAGAGTGTTTGTTTTTCATTTCCAGTTTGAAAATATTTAGGGCTTGACTGATCATCCAGTGACAGAAAGGGCAGGGGGTGGGCTGTTCTTTTCTAAGGACACATGAAAAGGTCTAAGTCTATTGACTGACAGAAGTGCTGGGATATTGTCATCTTTATACAAAAAGCGTGTTGCACAGCAATGGAGCTCAGACTGCTGCTGAATACTTACTAAAAACAAAGCAAAAAACTTAGTCTTTGGATTTATGAACTGTATGATAGAAAAGACTTTTTTGTGTTTGAATTTTTCTCCTGTTCTACCACCATCATCTTCTACGTTACTGGAAATTGCCTTAGGAAACTACAGAATTCAAATATTGTAAAGCTTCTCTTTGGTCTTTTTGGAGCAGAACATAGGATTAAAAAGCAGGACAGGAAAAACTAGTTACAAAGACAAGCTATGTGGTATCTTTTTAGAATATTTAAGCTGAGTTTCCCCACACAAAAATGACATTTGCTATCTCTTCAGTTGTACAGTAACATTTTCTCAGGCTACTCAACAAGCACATGTGTGTGCATGCAAAGGGCAGTCCTGTATTATTCAAAAGGGAAAATATTTTAACTTACTACTGCTGAGCTGTCTAGAGAAAAAAAAAATAAAAGGAGTAAAGACATACTGAAACGTAACATCTAATGATAAAAGACCAGCTTGTTAACACTACAGCCAAATTAGTTCAAAAGACCTTTAAACAGGCATTAATTATTACAGTACAAATACAAATTGTGTATGTATTGTAATATTGGTACCTCCTTATTTCTGTAAAACAGTGTGCCAACCGACAGCATTCTCAACCGTCTGAACAGACCACAGAACAGTACCTTGGCTATTTCACATCGCACAACTACACTCACACAACTACACTCACCAAGAATTGACCTCACTGTTGCTGGATTAAATGGAGTCCACGTCCCTGAAAACAGAAAGAATTAATTAGTTCCTCAATACTAAGTAACATTAAAAAAAAATGCAGCCAACCAACAAACCAACCAAAAAATCAGGTAAGAACTTAAACAGTGAATTCAGAGCTAGATGACATATAAAATAAGGCTGCTTTGAAGTAATTATGTTCTTGACCATTCAGAGATTACTTCAGACCAATGCTTTACAGATACTCTATAGAAACCAGCATTTTTCAGGCTGGACCAAAAACCCCCCCCCAAAAAACAAAAACCCAAAACCTTGGAAGAACTAAGAATGATTTTTTTTCAGCCTGGGTAGGCAGGAGGTATTGGATAAAAGGCAAGATCAAAACTGAAGTCCCACTTTTTCTATTGATGGGAGCAGAACAGTTTTAAGTTATAACTCAAACAAGGTCTCATATCTATTCCTCAGTAAAACCCCATCTGCTTATTTCCTATTGTACAGGGGGATTGCTCCAGGGCATTTAGTTTCTGACAAGTGAAAAGGTTCCTAACACAGCACAACCGCATAGTGCAATTTAGAGTTGAGTTTAGTATAAATCCCACCTCTGCTTCTAAATCAGTCGAGTGTTAGTTTAAATTAGCCTGTTGAGCCCAAGAAATGTTGCTGCTTAAAAGGGCGGGAGCAGCAATCATCTGAAAAGGAGCTTTGTACATCTCTCAATACTTAAGAGACTAGTCACTTCGGAATAGTTCTCACTTGGTTGGGAGCATTCCAGAATGCTAGGAAGCATTAAGCTTTAAATTGAGATAAATACTGTGTCTCATCTAGAATTTCACCATCAGTTCTCTAGAGCCTGTGAAGGAACCAGGAAGACCAAGAAGCATGTATGAAATTTGCTGTGGCTGAGTGCAGGGACCACAAAGGAACCAGTAGGACCAGGGGTACTGGAAGGCATTTGCAGCCATGCAGTTCAGTTAGCTGACCACAAATACCCAACAGAAAGGCTGGGCGGGTACGCCGGGTTGTGGAGGCGTGGCTGCTTCGCTGCGCCAAGCTGCAGGGGTGTAAGCAGTGCTTATCTCAGAGCTGAATTTCTCACACAGAAGGGAAACTCTATCAGTGTAACTCTACAGATGCAGCAACGGGGGAAAAACCTTATACTGTGGGCAGGCCACTTGGCTATCTGCACATAAAGAGAAACATAAGCAGAGAAAGAGTAAATATTACTCTGAAAATGTTTAAGCAGTATTTTAGACAGAGAACAGTGGTACCTTAGCGTTGCATGTCTCCTGACAAAAATAAAAAATAATGGAATTATTAATAGGGTGCCAGCATTTAACTCTGAACAGAATAGAGGAAAAAGTAAAAATACAGTTTGAAAATTAACTTGTTTCATGTTGAAATTTTCCAAAGACTCATATAGACGCCATGGACTGAAATCGGAGCAACTCCAGTGCTGAAGAACCGTACTGATTTCAGTTTGTTCCAATGAACAGTGAGACTGTTCCCTCCTCCTCCCCCGACTCTACTATGAACTTTACACGGCAGCACAGAAAAAAATGAGAAGGAAGCACAGGATTTTGTTGTGCAACAACTATACGATGTGTTGATCAATCCCTCCCAGGTAACTCTACTTTTGTTAGCAGAAACTTGACATGCTGAAAGCTGAATGTCAAAAACACATTGAACTTCAAATTTTAATGAGCACTATGCAGACTTTTTTAATGTTTTGGAAATAAACACATAACATTCTTTTAGCCCATGTTAGATTGCAGGACAGGTACACACAACCACCCACTAGAGGATATATTGTGAAAATAATATAGTGAATTGTTAGTGACTTTGGTGTATAAGATCTAGAATCTCTTGGAATGAAGGAAGCTTACAGTTCTGTAAATATTTTGTCTAATAGTGAATTCACTTGGTGGGGATTCTTCATAACCGTAAAGCACTGAAACTGCTAATTACACTGTAAATAAGGAAAGAAAAGAGTTCAGATAGTCATCACTGCCCTTAAATTCAATCAGATTAGAAGATATTTAAAAAATATGAAGTTTAAAATGGCAGGTAAAGCCAGGTTCACACAGTTACAAATAGCACTGTAATCTTAAATGAAAACAGCGACTTAATCAATTTAACTTAGCTTTTGCTGAAGTTTTTATTCAAAATAGTATTTTAGTTATGGATCAGCTCCAGTGGCTACAATATATTGCTTTTAATTTATCAGATATATTATTAAACAAATATTCTAGTAAATCCAGTTTAGTCATAAGACCACAATTTTACTACACAGAGTCATCCAAATTTATAGCAAGCCAGGTTATTACTGGCAAAAAGGAGCCTTTCAGTCTGTGTGCATTGCAGTTTAAGCCCTTCTCAGTCACAAAGCACAGGAAGGATGAAGGAAATAAACCTTGGGAGAAGGAGAACTTGATATACACTCAAAGGTGCACAAACAGCTTCAATATGCACTTTTAAAGATTTCTAAGTGGAAAAAAAAAAAAACCCCAACAAACCCACAAAGTACAACCCTTCCCTCCCTAAGTCACCAGAGGAAAGTGAAAACAGGATACTGGAAACAATTTTTGCTTTTTATTTTGCTTCCATGAGTTACGTGACCATACCCTAGTTACTCTTTGAGCATTATGACAGGGAACTGACAGACTACTAGAAAGTTTTAATACTAAATCTAGAGTGCATCTTTCTATTTTGTTAGGAAAAAAACCTAAACATGCCTCATTTGGGGAAAAAAAAAAATTACCATCTTCAATTCCTGCACCATACTGAATTAAAAGATTTTATGTGCAGTAATCTGAACTTTGTCCAGGTAATACACTTATCCTGGTTAAAAAAAAGAGGTTCAGTAGTGATGAGTGAGGAATATACAAATTACCATTTACATTTTCTAGGAAGCAGAGCTGGGAAAAAAGGGTGCATGCCTTCAGTCCCCAGAATACAAATCAATGATGTTTATAACAGGTACTCAGTTTATAATGCATTATTACTAACATGCATCAAACCCAGAAAACTTCCCTTGAAATTAAAAAAAACCAACAACCCACAAAAACCCTGGAACAATGTGCTTAGCAAAACGAACAAACAAAAAAACTCCCAATAAAATAAAATCAGGAAGACTGTCCATTGTTTTCCTACCCCTCAGTCTTTTGCTGTAGATTAAATAGTATTAATCAGTGGTAGGAACATTCACCCCCCCCCCCCCCCCAAAAAAAAAAAAAATCAAAGAATTATGTCATCAAGTAACCAGTCTCACATGAAATTTAACGTTAAGCTTACAATGAACTACCTCACTGCTCACTGACAGACTTACCGTTGGATAACGCCTGCTGAAGTTCATTATCAGATATTATTCCACTCCTATCTTTATCAACCCTTGGGGGAGAAAAAAAAAAAGGCAGTAAGCTTTAAATTGCTAAAATTAACAGGTTCCACCTACATAAGACTTCAATAGTCTGGTTCTTACTCACCAGATAAGCTTAATATTTTCCTGAAAAGTCACTAATTGCATTTTACTTGGTAAAATTTACTGCAAATTAAATGCTTCATTCAGACTTATGAGACATTCTGGAACATGGTAAAAGCTACAAAGAAAACTAAAAAACTTATGAGTGAAGAAACACAAAAACACACAGTGGCAACAGAAGAGTTTGGGCATACTCCATACAAGAAAGTATTTTATTTATGTGTTTTTAAAAGAAAGGCAGAACACACCATGCTCCTTAAATCCACAAAATGCCTAATGTCACTGCAGGAAGATGTTGGGCTCCAAAACTGAAGCCTCAAGTTTGGCACCCAGTTTCTCTCAGGAAAACGCCGGCAATGGAGAGAAACCCACGAATGTAACCAGTGCCAAGTACCGAAGGAATCAACTGCAGGGCCATGACCCATTTCAAAGGGGTTCAGAAAGTGAAAAGGCACAGGCAGGTGCCAGCTTCCACTGAGCCTTCACAGTCTATTGTCTTAAGAGAACGGAGTTGTATCCCAAAATTAATAAACTAAGTCATTTCTGCCCAAATAAAGCAGGATTACCTGTTCTTTACAAGGATATCTGAAAGTGGTCTGGACTTCTCTCCCTGTTATACAAGGACCTTCCCCCTGATACTGGCAGTTTTTATTTCCCCTCAGTTACTACCATTCCAAAGCAGAGTCCTGCTCAGTTGATCCCTCTGCAGAAGCTGTTTTTTACCTTTAGTCCTCATTGGCTTTTTCTAAACCTTTTCAGTTTATTCTACTAGATTCCTTCCCCATATCAAAAACTATATAAACTACATACAACATTCAAATTGCAAGCAAAAATTGCATAGGTCATAATAGCAAAAAGATGCTCATCGTTTTATTCTCTATTTCTTTTCTAGGCATTCCAAACATTTTTTACCTTTTATAAGCTGTTACTAAGTGATAAGCTGGTATTTTCATAAGAACTTGTTATGACCTACTTGCTGCTGAGCATCATCAATCACGTTATATTCATTTTATATACAAAATGATGCAAAGTTAAGTGGGTCTTCCTCATGGACATCAGGTATCCACTCTGGATTTCATCTGACCAGCATACAACAATCATGATCTGTTCATGACAGTGATGTGACCCAGTCATTCAGGACTGTAAGGTGCTCCTGCAAGTCTTCCCAGGTCTCACTTACTGCAGGAATCGGTTAGTGTAACTAGCAAACTTCATCTGACCATTCACCTTCTTTTCCCCCAGTCACTCCTGAACATATCAAATAAAGATCCCAGACAGCTCCATCTGTCAGTATGGCAGATCACCACACACTCCTCAGTCAGTTATTTATCTACCAAAGGACCCTCCCTTTCATCCTGCATCTCCTGGATTTCTTCAAAGGTCTTTAATACTTATGTATGTTGAGAGCCTCTGGAAACTAGACAGTTTATATCAATGGCACCAATTCTAGCTATATACGTACCCACTCCTTATCCAACAAACTCCAAGACTTACACAGCAGTTTATCAGACAAATACTTTCAACAAAAAACCATGCAACTCTCCTGCCTAGCTACATGGTTTAAAATGGCTTCTATTGGTTTTCCTACTGCAGAAGTCGGACTGTTCATCTTTTTCTTTATGGACTCTTTAAAAAAAGAAATGGCATCCTGCATGCCTCCTCCAAATTCTCAAATGAAGTGGTTTTGCAGAAGGCTGGTAGGTAAGCTGCCACATTCCTGAGTCATTCCTGAGTTACTAGGTAAATATTAGCCAGTTTTAGCAACTCATTACTGTTTGTCTACTCCTTAACCTCTTCTTGCTGTCGCTTGAGTCAAGATAGCTCCTCTGACATCTCCCATAAAAACGGATCTAACATAGGAATCTCCCCAGTTTCCTCGACATGACACAAACATGCACAACTCCTCTTGCTTCATTATGACTACGGTCTCGACAGCGTGCTTTGTTTTTTTAACATGGGCCCACTAAATCCCTTGCACGTTCCTGCTCCAGATATATTCAAGAGAATATCCACTGTTAGTTTTTGAGTTTTCCATTAGGCATTTATCAGATTCCTTTTTACAAGGCTTCCTGTACAGCGACATTGACCCGGGGGACTTTACAATCCTTTCCGGATTCTCGGGTCAAAAATGACTTCAGTATTTTCAGGGCCACCTTCTCGCTGCCACCAACCCCCTTCCCTTGCTCTAAGATACAGCCACACTTACTCCCCCCCAAGCCTTTCTTAAAGCTCCT